CTGGCGCAGAAGAAAAGTTTTATTCGGCGTTTCGACATTGGGCGGAAGGGGGGGGGGGTCTGGCTCTGGACCTCTACTCAGTGCGACTGCTTGTAACACCAGGTCTTCTGAGGGGAGGGACTTCACCTGCTCGAGACAGGCGCCCCAAACAGCCAAGATCTACTCCACGGGGGGGGGGGAAAGGAGCGGGGGGTGCGAGGGACCGCGCCGATCGGCAAAAGAAGGAATCAAAAACCGATCCCAAGGACGACATCAACATGATTGTTTTTAACTTTTGGAGGTCCGCGCGGATTTCTCGGCTCGGCTCCGGGCCCCGAGTGGCGGCGCCTCGGATGCGCCCCCATGGCACGCTCCGCGCGCCAGGGAGGGGGGGTCCAGCGCAGACACAGGAACTCCGCGCGGTCCTCCGAGCGTTTATTGGCATTGGCGGCGAGCGAGGGGGGGGAAAGGAGAAGGAGAAGGCCTTCTCAGAAGAGGGCGGGACCTCTCAGAAGCCCTCGCGCCTTCTGAGAAACTTTCCGTGTCTTCGGGGAAGGCTTAGAAAACTTCTCAGAAGGCTGGGGGACTTCCGAGCCTGCTGAGAAGGCCCGCCCCTTGCCCGCCCCTTCTCACTTCCCCACTTCGCTCGCCGCCGAGTTCTGTTTCTCAGCGCGCGATCCTCCGACCCCGTCTACAGCGTGGCCAGATCAGAAGTATGGGACCGAACTCTATACACCGACGCTTGTTCTGGCCATGCACTCAAAATCTGCATAGCAAAACGGATCCCGGTGTATACGGGACCCCGTTGTATACATGGCTCGTTGGCTCCCCAGGAGGCGGACGAAACAAGTCTACACCACAGCATCCCGACGTCGCCCCCGACCCTCACAAAGTCCCGGGATTGAAAAACCGCCCGCCACTGGTAATGAGGAGGAGGAGGAGGAGGAGGAGGAGGAGGAGGAGGAGGAGGAGGAGGAGGAGGAGGAGGAGGAGGAGGAGGAGGAGGACGCGCGGCAAGGGCGCACGCAGCGCCCTTGGGAGGCCCTCGCCGAGGCCGCAGCTGGAAGCCCCCTTATTGCCAGCTGCTGACGGCCACCGCCGACGCCTACGATCCGGGGCCTTCCACACGGGGCTCGAGCAGGTGGGTCGCAGGATTGCGCCGGATCGCCGATGCATCGCCAATGTACTCCAGATGTCGTAATAAAAGGGAGGGGGTCTCAACCCTCCCAGACGAGAAGTTTCAGACCCCCCCCCGTGGGAGAACCCTCCAAAACATCGTCCCCAGACCCCCCAGGCCCTCCAAGATGGCCTGGAAGAGACCCCCCCCGAAATGAGACCCCCCTCCCTTTATTACGAAATCTGGAGTATCGGCGATGCAGGATGCATCGGCGACGTCGGCGATGCATCGGCGACGTCGGCGCGGCGAGATCGGGCTCCGCGTCGAGCCGCATCGCCGATGCACCCTCCACCTCCTCCCCCGTGCCATTCCAGACCAAAACCCAGGGGCAGTGGGCCTGGCCAGGGAGCAGTGGATATGTATAGACTTCGTCCCCCGATCCCAGGGGCCCGTGCACTAGCAAGCCAGTCGGACTGAATAACGTGTTAAGCCAGACTCAAGCGTGCGAGCGGACCGAACCCGGAGGTTTACCTAAACCTGGCGACTGGGGTGGAGGAGGGATCGATGAAGGTCGTCCTTTCAGGAGAAGGAAGAGGAGGAGGAGGAGGAGGAGGAGGAGGAGGAGGAGGAGGAGGAGGAGGAGGAGGAGGAGGAAGGAGAGCAAAGAAGAGGGAACGACGTTTACGCAAAAACTGAGCGGCATGCGTACGAGACAACAAAAAACGGCTGGCGCACGTTCCGCCTGCAAGTTCAGCCAGGACACATTCCCTTAATAAGACGCTGCTTCTCTACGCTAGCGGAAATACTGCGCAGCTGGGACTGGCAATGCACCTACTGGTGAAACTGGAAACTGTGAAACTCTTGCAATGCAACCTGTTTGGACGTCCAGGTCTGGAAAAAGGCTCATTGCCTGAAGTGTGCGCCCAACTCTGGTGTGGACAGGGTCAGAATCAAGACGGATTCAACAATCCGCGCTGAATGTGTTGGTCGGGGGACTCGCGCTGGAATCGGAGTCGGATGTTGAAGAGGAGGAGGAGGAGGCATGCGATGTCCATGCAACATGTCCTGATGAGAGATGTGGAAGAACATGCAATGGAATTCAGGGTTGGGGAAACCGTCATACCACAAGAGGGGAGGGAATGGAAGAGGAGGGTGCACGAGGATGAGAAAATCCTCGTTCACGGCCGTGCCATTGCGAGAGACATTGTTTGTTGCGTCGGCCGTGCGCCAACCGTTTGTTGCCAGCGTTGCATGCGTGCGTGGGGTTGCCGTCTGTTGCCGGCTGGTGGGGTTATGCGAAGCGTATAAGACTGACTCCTCACGCACACAGCATCAGCACATAATGTCTCGCGTGATCGTCGATCGACTAGGACCCTCCCACGCGGGCAAGTGGCCCCTCGTCCTCCTCGCAACCCCCCTCTGGCCGCACATCCCCCTTCACATTGCCCTGTTCCTCGGCCGAGCCTTCGCACTAGAATTTCTCGTCTTGGCCTTCCTCCCCCGCTCCCCTCTCCAATTTGCAAAAGGGGCAACATTTGTCCGCCGTCTCCGTGTTCTAGAGGATCCTGCCTCCTCCCCATCCCCCTGCTGAGCATCGATATATTCATAGATCGATATGTGTATATATATGTATATATATATATATATGTATCCCTCCTCCTCCTCCTCGTAACCTCCCCTCTCCTTTTCTTCCTCTTCACCTCAGTCTCTACGGCCGTCCCCTCCGCAGCATGCATTCGGCAGTCGCCCCCATTCACCTACCACTCGATGAGGAGCACGCGCGCCGACTATCAGCCAACAGAGCATCCACAGCAGGACGTCTTTCCCAACCCTGCATAGTCTGGTTCCTGGAACCTGGTGCAGCCTTGTAGGTATACCAACCAGAAGCCGACCAAGAACCTACGCCGAAGACTGCTGCTCAGCAGGAGTCGCGCCGTTTGCCGCCATCTGAATGGCAGATGAGGGTAGCATCGTCAAGAGAAAAAATGCGATGCGATGCGTGGCATTTCTGTGAGCCGATTCCAGCCGCACTTCATTGTACAGTTGATGAAACGTCGCGGTGTGAAAAATTTACGAGATCTGAGGTCTGGGGCCCGGGGTTGAGGTGGAGCCGCCGTCGCCCCTGTCGGACCTGGGCCTGAGAGTGCGAAAAGGAAAGGGTGCGAGCACACGAGGGGGGGGTATTTCGAGTACTCGACAAAGGAGAGAGTGTGAGGGAGAGGGTGCGAGCACACGGAAGAATGGGGTCGGCCCAGTCGGGGCTCGGGGTCGGCTGGTCGTGGCGGGGTGAAGAATTGAGGAGGAGGAGGAGGAGGAGGAGGAGGAGGAGGCGCACGGCGACAGAACGATCTCGGGCCGAAGGTCGAAGTACATCGAACCGAACAAACTGCTAAGAGATAACTAGGACTGAGCGGCCGACCGTGCGTGCAGCTTTGGATGACGAATCAAAGACAGCCCCTCCGGGTTGGGAGCCCCGAGTTGTCTTCGCTAGACCACGGTTACATATTGAGCACGACACCCAAACATTCAGATACTTGGCTTGGTGTCCGTTCGATGGGAGCCTATGCGGCCCCCGGCGCTGTCCGATTTGGTCCTGAATCGGACCAGATTTGGAACAGACTTGCGACCGGGTTTGGACCGGAATTGGACCGGATTCGCCCCTTCACAAGGGAGACGAACGGGCAGGGGGAGGAGAAACAGGACGGGCGAGGAGGAGCAGGAGGAGGGGCCGAATGCGGTCCGAATGCGGCCCACCTGCAGGACAAGCTGATTTCAATGTCGCCGCCCAAGGACCCCAGGAACGCACATCGAAATGTAGTGCCTCCAGATGTCCCAGCCGACAGGCAGAAGCCCCAGGCACGCGCCCAGGAACCTCGGCGCACAAGGGCCCGCCGAGGAGGAGGAGGAGGAGGAGGAGGAGGAGGAGGAGGACGTGGAGGAGGAGGAGGCTCACTCACACGGTCTCCAACTCGCCCCACACCTTGGGCTTCACGAGCTCCGTCTCGACGCTCGCCGTCGCCTCGGGGCCTCGGTTATGAAGGAGCTCGGGGTGCTCGAAGAGCTCGTGCAACACTGGCAGCAAGTCCCCAAAGAGCTCAACCTCGGCCTCCCAGAGCGACCCGTCGGCCTCTAGCCGGACCTGCTGCGCGCTGGCATGGAAGAAGCGCGGCTCGTCGGCGAGCAGCGCAACCAGGGCCGATGCGTCCGGTGAGGTGGCCTTGGCGTGGAGCAGCTCCCAGTACATGGCCAGCATCACGTTTACGAGCCGCTGCTTGTCGCACCGCAGGCCGTTGCAGTGATTGCGGCGGCAGCAGGTGAAGTCGCCCTCAAAGATGCCGAGAGACATGGCGTGGTCCTCCGTCGAGGCCCAGAGCGGCCGCAGCCCGCACTCGTCGTAGACGAAGGCATTAGCCGACTGGGCGTTGGTTGCCAAGAAGCTAAGCTGCTCGACGCGGCACCAGCCGCGGCGGCGGTAGCTCGCCGTGTCCAACGTCTCCCCCAGCTCCTGGTGTAAGCACGTCGGCGAAACGGCGACGAAGATGCGGCTGCAGGCGACTTAGAGCGAGAGCGAGTTGATGGCGTTCTGCTGCTGGTCGCGGTTGGCCTGCGGGATCGAGTGGTAGTCCAGCCACACGTGGGTGCAGGGCCACCCCGTGGCGGCCAACGCGTCGAGCGCGGAGACCATGGCCGCGTAGTGCTCCCCGCTCGGGTCCGGATCGACGAAACTCGTCCACTGGTGGCTGAGGAAGCCGATATCGCCCTCCTGCTTGAGGCGATGCATCTCGGCAGTGGTATCGAGAAAGACCAGCGAACCCTGGTCTCGGGCCTCCTCGTGCGACAAGAGCCGGCCGACCCGCTTGAACTCTTCCACCTGCATGACGCACATTGGGAACCGGCTCCGCAT